CCCCCTGCCATGGGCAGCCTCCCCTACACCAGGTTGCTCAAAGCCTCATCCAACCTGCCCCCAGGGATGGGGCAGCCACAGCTTCTCTGGGCAACCTGTGCCAGTGCCTCAGCACCCTCAGAGGGAAGAATTTCTTCCTTAGATCTCATCGAAATCTCCCCTCTTCCAGTTCAAAGCCATTGTCCCGTGTCCTGTCACTACACACCCTTGTCCAAAGCCCCTCCCCAGCTTTCTTGTAGCCCGTTTAGGTACTGGAAGGTGCTGGAAGGTCTCCCCGGAGCCTTCTCTTCTCCAGGCTGAACAGCCCCAACTCTCTCAGCCTGTCTCCATAGCAGAGCTGCTCCAGCCCTTGGATCATCTCTGTGGCCTCCTCTGGACCCACTCCAGCAGCTCCATGTCCTTCTTGTGTTGGGTTTTTGTTTCTGAGGTCTTGTTTCCTCTTCTTTGCCTTCCTCCCAGTGATCCACTTCTTCGATGCCGTCAAAGCGGACCGCACGCGGAGCTGGCTGTACGCCGCCTGCTCACTCTCCTACCTGGGCGCCATGGTGTCCAGCAACTCGGCTCTGCAGTTCGTCAGCTACCCGACACAGGTGGGCGTCAAACGTGCCCCCTAACAGGGGTGCCCCGAAACAGGCGCCGTGCTGGGGCAGCTGATGCCATGGGAGAACCGGCCGGTGATAATTATCCAGGAGGGGAGATGACGTGGAGGGAAACTCTGTTTTTTCCCACTTATTTTTCTGTAGTGATGCTGGATCGCTGCGGTTCACTCAGCACTGGGTGTGTAGAGAGGGGGTTGAGGGAGCTTGGGCTGTTCCAGAAAGGGAAGAGCAATCCCTAAAAATATGGGAATTTGCTAACTGGGAGTTGGTGCTGATGTTGGAGGGCTTGAGACGTCTTCTGTGTTCTTCTCTGGCTTGAGGCAATTTGTGAAACGTTCACTGCTGGTTTAGCAGTCGCCCTGTGGTGGGGTTTTTGTCCTTTTTTCTGCAGTATCCGGTGTTTTATCGGAGGGAGCGGATCAGGGTGGTCCGATCCCGCACAGCCACCCTGTGCTGCCACAATCTCTCTTGTCGCAGGCAGTGACGGCGCGCGGAGGGTTAATACGGCCTTTCTCTTACAGGTCCTCGGCAAATCTTGCAAGCCCATTCCAGGTACTCAAATTCCACTTTTCTCCTGTATTTGTGGGATTTTTCAGGGCCCTCAAGGAGGAGCTCGTTTGTCAAACCCCTCTCCTCCTGCCCGCTCCGCCACGGGAAGCGCGAGTGGCGTTTCGTCCGCGTGTTGTCGCGTCGGGCCGAGTTCAGAATCCCGGGAGAGGCTTTGGGAGCGGTTTGTGATGCCGTTTCTTCGCAGTCATGCTGTTAGGAGTGACTTTGCTGCGGAAGAAGTACCCGCCGGCCAAGTACCTCTGCGTCCTCTTAATCGTGGGGGGAGTCGCCCTGTTTCTCTAAAAGCCGAAAAAGGGGGCTGGGAGCGACGACCACGTCTTTGGCTACGGAGAACTTCTCCTGGTGAGCGCTGCCAACGCACAGAGCCCTGGCAGGGCACACAGAGCCCTGGCAGGGCCGAGGAGGAGCCGAGGTTACCGCACAGATAAGGCCGTGCCCTTTGTACCTCACATGTTCCCTAAGGCTGATGTGGAAACGCTTCCTTGGGAGGACACCTGGGCGTGGGGGGCGTGTGGGGTGAGACTGGTGGACGAGTGTGTTTTGAGGTCATGTAATGGCTATCGAATAGGTGACTGGGATGTCAAAAAAGAGGGAAAACGCTCCAGGTTTTCCGGTAGAGATGCCATGAAGAGTGAAGGTTTGCTTTGCTTTCCCTTATCTCCGTCTCGTCCCAGCTGCTGTCCCTGACCCTGGACGGGCTGACCGGTGTGTCCCAGGACCACATGAGAGCTCACTACCAGACGGGTTCCAATCACATGATGCTCAACGTTAATCTCTGGTCCACCTTGTTCCTGGGGGCTGGTAAGGAACTTTGCAAAACCCACAGCCGCCGTGCCCGGACACTGCCCAGGAACACCCCATGGGAAGAGATGATGTGTCCTTCTCCAAAAACGGGCCTGGAACACTTTTTGCAAATAACTTTATGTTTGGGGTTGGCTTTTTTTTGTCGGGGCTGCTCAGTGTAGATCTTCTCATGCCCAGCAGAGGACACCGCTCCCCGCAGAGTGTAGCTGCCCATCGCATGCCCAGGTGGGAGCAGTCCTGGCCGGCCACCTCTGTGCTCCAGCCGTTACCAGTGTAGCTTTCCGCTCCAATTAAAGAGTGGAGCTTTCTCATTAATTGCTAGGGACTGTTTTATCAGCAGTTGATGATTGCTTCATTCATTCATTAATTAGGAAGGTGATCACTTTTCTCCTGTTCGCTTTGTTTTCCACTCTGTGGAATTTAGTCTTTGCTTTCAGTAGCTCCTGTTGGGTTCTGAGCGTAAACCGAAATTACGCTGCGTAGGCAGTGCCTGCTCGGGCTGCCTCGGGGCTCGTAATTCCTGGTTTTCATCTTTCCTCCAGGGATACTGTTCACTGGAGAGCTCTGGGAGTTCCTGAGTTTTACGGAGCGCTACCCCAGCATCACTTACAACATCCTGCTGTTCGGCCTGACGAGTGCGCTGGGTCAGGTAAATTCCGCGCTTCCCCCGTTCCGCAGTGTGGGATGTGTTTTCCCAGAAGAAGTGAGGCCACTTCTGTCCAGGCTACCTTCGGAGTAAAACTGGTTTAAGTTTGCATGCAAATAATCAGGTTTCAAAATAAGATTCTTTTGGCTCTGGCTCGATGGCTTTTCGTCTGAAAACATGATCCGCGTTGTACTTCTCCAGGCAGAGTGACAAAAGACGTCTTGTTTGTTTCTTACAGAGTTTTATTTTCATGACCGTGGTGTACTTCGGCCCCCTGACTTGCTCCATCATCACCACCACCCGCAAGTTCTTCACCATTTTAGCGTCTGTCGTTCTGTTTGCCAACCCCATCAGCACGATGCAGTGGGTGGGGACCGTCCTGGTGTTCTTGGGTGAGTCTGGGAGCAAACACCCGAGGACTTCCCACTGTCAGCTTGAACAGAGGTGACCTATAGTGAGGGGAGAGCCAACCAAAGATGGTTGGTGGTCAAAAAATTCCCATTGTGTGTGAAAACACCAGGTGGAAGAGTGTTAGTAGCCTTATCAGTGCAGGAAAGGAGGAACAGGATGTCTGGCAGATCTAGTAGGTCTTGGTTTACCCCCCCACACCAGTAAGTCCCTATCTCTGAGTGACCATCAGTAAATTGGGGCTGTTAAGCTGATTTTTCACAAAGTTCCCTGTATTAGGTTTGTTTAAAAAAGCGTGAAGAAATTTGCTGTGCACATGGATTATTTTCTCTCTTCGCAGGCCTTGGACTCGATGCCAAATTCGGGAAGGGAGTAAAGAAGACGTCACATTGAGGAAGTGGCTGATCTCTGCAGTTGGAATGAACTTTTAATTTATTGTCTTGTACCTCAAAATCTGTTATGAAACTGGACTCAGGATAGGTAATCAGAAGGAGAGTGTTTGTAATTTTTTTTTTTGTTTTAGTTTTTTAATTCTAAATTGTCTTAAAAGTGTAATACTTTTGTTTTAATTGTAATTCAGCTTTTTTTTTTTTTTCTGTAATCAAAGCTGCATTACTAGATCCTAGCAGCAGGACGAAATTCTTGCCTTAACAGGAAAAAAACCTTCATATCTTTATTAAAGAAAAAGTGACAATGGCCACTTTTCCAGAACTTTAATTTCAGTATCGTTGGCTGACCGTGGGGAGAAGGAGCACACCTCTCTGCAAGGAGAGGGCAAGTCTTGGAATTACGGTGCGGCCTGGAAGGATCCTTGGATTAAACGCCTTTGTTGAAGACAACCCCCTCTTCTGCTTGATTGTATGAGTTTTCCATAACTGGAGCAGCCAGTTAAGACATCCTGCCATTAAGATAATACGTATGAACACCGAGCTGCATTATTTCCTTCATCCGAGCCCTTCTGAACCAGAAGCAACTCTTGGCGTACGTAAAAGTTTACTGGAAACCTATTTAACCAGTGAGGCCCAAATGAATTCTTTTCATCCCCTCTGCTGATGAAGGAGCAGGACCCTCTGCTGCCAGAACCGTGCCAAGGTTGTGTGACAACAGCTTCTCAGTGTTGCAAGGGCCCCTGTTAATTAAGCACCATCACGGCGAGCTTCCCAACGCCGCTCCCGGCACGGGCCAGCTCCCCAGTGCGGGATGGGGAGGAGTTGGTGGCATAATGATGCCTTCAGAGCTGGAGAGCAGAATTCTCCACAGAGCAAACTTTACACATGAAAGCGTGTTTCTACCAGCTGTCGCTCGGTCTCCATCTGTTCTGTGGCTTTGGCCTTTTGCCCCTCCAGATGGGATCTTGATCCCTTTCCCTTTCGGCCGTTGTAAGTGTCTCTTTCTGTCCCCTGCTTCCCCCACACCTCCAGCACTTCTTACAACTTTTTTGGCCTCAAATTCGGTTTTCATTTTCTCTGTCTCGTATCCCATAGTTCTGCTCAGACACCGTGTCTCTTGCAGAATTAAACCCAAAGCAATTAGAGGGTTTTTCTCTGTCGCCTTCACCTCTTTGCTAGCTCACACCATCTCAAAGGTCGAGTGGTAAGTAGCAAACAAACCTGTGCTCAGTGGTGGAGAATCCTGAAGTAGAAGCCTCTACTCCGTGAGTACCACCTGATGAACACCATGTGCTGGTGCAGCAGCTGCTCAGGGATTCGGGCTTCCCTGAAGGCATGAAGACAGTTTTCCTTCCCAGTCTCTCTCCCAGGTAATGAATGCTATTTCCATTTTATAAAAGGGAGCAGAGAAATTGCCTGACTTGTTCATGAACACTGGCAGAGATAAGAATTCATTATCTTTTATGTGATTTAATCATAAAACTAGCTTTTCCCTGTGTTTATAGGACTTGCAGTCCTCGATCTCTTAGCACTGTCTTAAATTTAACCAATTCTCAAACTCTGCAACCAAAAGCAGCAAAAAGATTCCAGGTGAGCTCTCAGTTCTGTTAGTTTTCCTGGCTTGTTTTCCCTTCTATTAAATGAGTGATGTAACATAAGAACAGACCAGCTTCCCTGTCATCGTGCAAATACAAACACCTGAAAAAGGCATTATAAATCACTGAAGTACTCTCTCAACCATCCACTTCCCTGGGATAATCTTGGAATTTCTGTTCAAACATGTCACCTGTTAAGTGTATTTGAGTCTTTGCAGTTACAAACGCTATTCTAGACCGTGTGCTACAAGTCAAAGGGAAATCACTCTGATTCCCAAGAAGCAGAATTGCTTATTGGCAATAATTCTGTACCCACTAAAGCTCTTGGGAAACTGAGGGATCAGAAACTGAGGAGTGAGCAAGCAGCAGCCCTTCTCCACGGCTATCACTGAAGGACATCTATCGGAGATCTTTTGATTTCCAGCACCTCAAGCCCAGTTACCTCTTCGGTGAAAATGCTGGGAAAAGTGCTCTTCTTGAGCGCTGCTCGCTCCGAGTCTAGGTGTAGCTCCAGGAGAGACAGTGTCTTGAAAACGAAACAAAGACTTAATTGCTAGTTTTTCCCTAACCATTGAAAAGAAGCCACCAGAGTTTCAAGGGACCTTTTGCTCGAACCCACAGGTCTGCCCCCTTCCCCACACTGCAGCAGCTCCAACATGGAGCAGAAAGAAGGAAGCTGGGAGTTTCCTAGGGTCTGTTTTCTAAGCTGAGATCTGTCTTTACCACTATCTTCAACTTGTCTGTATTCAGAGCACAGATTTAAAGATCAGTCTGCCAAGAGAAGGAAAATAAAAAAGATTTTCTCTCTCCTGATTGCTGCAGGCTCCCTTGACCCACTTTAGCTCTAAAGCCTATTCCTGGTATCGCTCCAGCTTGGTTCTTGCTGTGCCTCTGACTCTTGGTCAATAAGAATTTCTTAAAACAAAGGCAGCTCTTGTACCCATCTTGAGTCTGAATCCTTCAGAGTCCCTTGGACAGCTTGCTGTCTTCTCTCCAGACCTCACGTACTGTGAGATCCCAGAGGAGGCTACAAAAGCCCTTCCAGAAGCTATTTTCAAATCAGCACTGGCTTTTCTTCTTGGATAGTTCGAACACCACTGCCACAAAACAAGTCCCCAGCTTTGAGCTGCCAGGAAGATTGCTGTAATACCTCTCCCTGGTGGCAGACTGGTTGCCACGTTTTGAGAAGCCTGCCTGGTGGCTCGTGGTGATGTTCCTGCTGGAGTTCATCTGTTTCTTTATTTAAAGAAGGTAAACTTCACAGGAATTGGCTTAGGATCCAATAGTTTTCATCCTCCATGTTACTTTTTCCATATTAAGAAATGGAAGCTCCTCTCTGAGGCACCTTTTGTAGAGGGATAGTTATGTTTAATAGTGTTTTGGCTTTTTTAATAAATGGTGCAAGTGTCTTCAGAGGCAATGCTTGAATTTCTGGTGAAGAGTCAGGAACAGCTTTCTGTCTTCGAGTAAGAGATGAGTAATGTACAAAGAGTTGACAGAACTTACTCCAGTTTATATAGACACTGCGTAATGCCCAGGGCATGGCTGGGCAAAGGAATCTTTACGGCTGGCAAGTTGCATTTTGCTCACTCAAAGAGGAAGAGTTCTGTGGGAGCACGTGCACCTATAAGCAGTTCAGAGGTCTCAAGGAATTAAAACACAGTGCCCAGGTTCTCTACGGCTCGGTTTGTCTCTGTTTTGTTTTTTCTTAGACATTTTCCAGTTTATTAGCGGGGCAGAAACCTAGTTAAATAAAAAAAGACTACCTTGTTCTTTCTAGTCCTGTGTCCTGTCTGTCTTTCCCCAGCTGTAAGCAAGCAGTGGTTTTGTGACAATGACATATTTTCCAAAATGAAAAGTTTTTGTGAAGTGTAAAACATCACCCTTTGCAGCCAAGGTGGTAGGTGCTTTGGACACTCACTGTGTAATGCTGACTTGGGAAGTAGTTCCAAAAGGGAATGCTTGTGGTTTGTTCCTTCCGTAGCAGATGTGACTGGTCTTTCTCTGAGCAGAAGAGGAAGGGAAATCAGTTGAGTAGGGGATTAGTTCATTAAGTGCCTTAGGCAAAGCCGTGCAAGTGCAAAACATAAAGGTCAGACTGAGAAGTTATGATGAGATTCCATCTTCTTCTCTCCTACTTTTTGTTGGCTCCAGGGTCCCAACCCCGAGTCCATTTATGACTCAGCCGGTTACCAGCAGGGGGAACTCTTATCTCAATCATTTTAAAGAAACCCAAGGAGAAAAACAACAAAAAAGCAGTTCCTGGTTAATTAGTGATATAACTTCTGGAATCTTTGTGCTTACAGTAAAAACATCACGTGGAAATCAAGGTCTTCTTCCATTTTTATTCTGCTTAACTCTTTTTGACCATCAGCAGAGACTACATCGAAGCTAAGTCATTAGAAGCTTCAAGACAATCACCATCTCTTCTGTAGAATGGCCTTTGTTACAAAGAGCATAAATAAACAAGTATAAATAAGTAGTGAGTATAAATAAGTAGTGCACACCTGCGTGTCCTCCGTCCTCATGGAACACCAGCAGCTGGCTTCCTGCACAGCAGCAGCCCCTGGCATCGCAGCCGATGTTTTTTGAAAACGTTTCTGCCAGAATTCTCCTAGGAACCTTGTCAGTTCTCGGTGGTTCCGGGGAGATGAGACGAGTCAGGCGCACGCTGAGAATAAACAGCAGATTCCATTGCTGCCGTGTTTGCGCCTGTCGTCCCTCCACGAGGAACTCGGTGACGGATCGGCTGAGCAAGGTGGAGTTTTCTTTTGTAGCTCGCTGAGACATGGCATCCGCAGGGGGAGAACTTGGCAGCTGCGTCCCTTTTCCTTTCATCTTCCTCATTTTTACGAGCTCTTTCTGCAACTCCATCAGCAGATGTTTAAAAAGCCCAAAATGTTTAGAGAGCACGTAGAATAAGGTAGATGCTACGGTATGCGTAGAGGTGGGTATAGTTGCGTAACACGGATAATTTCCTGGTCACGGGATGGTAAAGACTCAAATGACAACAGTTTGAGGGACAAGGAAGCTGTTCTTACTGGTTTGAAATCAGTGAATTGCAGATCTCGAAGATCCTGCTTAAAAACACCAACCCCAACAGCCGTTCTTAATAACAACTGGGATTTGTGCTGTGCCACTCAGTTCAGAGTCGGTGATGATGACGTGAGCTTCTCCTGCAGGATTCCACCCAGTCTTGCAAAGGAGATGGGAATTCCTGCTAGATTTCGCAGGCTGAAAGGCACGAGACTCAAAACAGCACCCATGGGGAAAACACATGCTAGCTTTGGAGTCCTGCTTTAGCACGGAGTAAGTTTACACGGAAGAAGTTTGCAAGGCCGAGAGGGATGGGATATTTGAAACACACTTTTGCAATAAACAGGTTCATACTTAGATTTGCAGTTCATAACTGAAGAATTTCAGCAACAGTGTGCCAGGGATGTACCTGAAAACCAGTAATTGCCTCAGACTGAAACTGAGATGGCTGGTTGTCACACTGGAATGAGGTATTTAAGGTTTTAAATATTCTAAGGAAAAAAATAAGATGAAAAGTGCATTTAAAGCTTCAGAATTAAATTAGCAGAAATGATCATATGACTTTTTTCCTTTCTCTTGCTATAATTTTCTGCAGCACTTGCAATGTCATTTTCATCCTTTTTGTATATTTAGG